GTTTACAGGAAACCTTTCAAAATGCTGAGTCGCTTGTATGTGAGCAGAGAGCGTGCCGAGAACTGAGGAAAGCTAAGCTACTGCCGCCACATTGCCGGGCCATATCGCTCATTAAGGGTATTGGTGTCAGGAATGGTTGGCCTTTGACCCTGACACACGAAATCGGTTCTATATTGGACCTGCCGAAGCCATGTATCCTTTCGGGTGAGAGTTTGCCGCAAGTTTGCTGCATTTGCCTGGGATATGTTGAATGAGCAGTGCATGTTCAGCGTCAAGCATTTCACATTGATTGTTTTTGAAGGAAATAAGAGCTGTATTTTGTTATCGTTCTTCGTAGGCGCAAATGTGGCTAACGATGTTGCCGCTGAAAACTTCGCGGAGGCGACAATTGGCCATGCAGACGGTGAGACCGAGACGGCAGCGTTGTGGCAATTGCTTTTTGACAGACCTAACTTCAAGATCAACGTTCTCCCAGATGTTGACGGCGTCGAGGTGAGTTGTGGCGTTATGTTACTTTCGCCCGTTATCTGCATCTCTCCGTATCTGTTGGCCTAGAACACGCAGGGCTCAGCTGCTCTGGTGGCGGGGTAGATCAAGGCTGCTTAACCATGTTAAGCCGCTTCTTGTGACGGTGCAGGTTTGCGGAGCACTGAAGAACGTCGTCGCCCTTGCCGGTGGTTTCTGCGAAGGAATGGGCCAGGGTACTAACACAAAGGCAGCAATCCTCCGCCTTGGAGTGGAGGAGATAAAGACATTCACCATGCTCTTTTTCGGGGATCTCCTTGCTGTGAGCGACATAAATCAGGCTGCCCGCTTCACCTGCCAAGAGATTGTTGTAGTAGCCAGGGCCGTGTGCCAACCATGATGTCTTTTGTGCTGCAAAGGTGGCCGTTCCATACATAACAGCTCAGCCCTCCCGTGTACGTCTATGGTTGCCACAGGACACGCTGTACGACAGCGCAGGCTATGCTGATGTTATCACTACCGTATTTGGAGGGCGCAACGCCAGAGTGGCTGCGGCTTTCGTGCGCAACAGAGGCAAGGACTGGGATCAGCTGGAGAAGGAAATGCTCAACGGCCAAAAGCTGCAAGTATGCATTCCCCTGATAGCGGCAGCCTTCACGTGTTTATACAAGGGGCAATGGGAGTATTCGCCCTTTTACCATGAAGCCCTCTGTATCCTGGACTTCTCAACATTCCCGTGCTACTTTGTGTGTGTGCGCCAGGGGCCGGCTACGCTCGAACTGGTGGCTGAGGTGATACGTGCAAACGAAGTTGAGCATCTTTTCCCGTTGTTCATGTCGACGTACGCGGTAGCATTTGAAAATGCCGAGCCGGAGGCAATCCTCGACGTTTTCCGCACCAATCGGCCGCGTAGCATTCAGCGGAGTGAAGATTGCGTGAAGCTGAAAGTTCCCTCGCTCGTGAAAGATGCAAGGACACGAATTGCGTCCCGCATGAAGAAGCTTGGGAGAAGCATCAGTGAACTGACAAGGAACCCACCAGACACCCCCGACAGCGCCTCAGAAGAAAGCAACCACAAGGCAGAGAATAATTGCGCCAAGCTGTAAAGCTTGAATGCCTGGGCAAAGATAATGGAAGTTGCAGGTCACTGGACCCGCAAAGGAGGTGAACACTTACTCACGGCGTATCGGTTTAGTCTCCACAAAGTCTGAAGACAACCAGGCGACTAACCGCCGGATGTTCAG